GTCTCCTACTCTGATTCGGCTGCTGAAGGGGCTGGTGGCCGAGAGGCTACAACACCCTCAGGAGTCTTGCCCATACAGGTAGTCCTTCACTTTGGTGAGACCCAAGAACCTGGCTTTAGGACCAGGTTGTCTGAAGGACCATCCTTTCCTGGTTACATCCGCCCAACCCACCAGAGCAGGGGAAGGACAGGCAACGGTGTGGGTCTCCTCTCCTAAGAAAGTGCACCTGGTGGGACCTAGAAGAAGGGCCTTCTCCATGGTGACTCCCTTCCTGTGGAACTTCCTCCCCGCAGAGATTTGACCTGTCCTCACTTCTTCCACAAGTCCCTGAAAGGCCTGGTTTTGCCTGGGAACCCAGAGTGGGATGGAGCCATCAAGTTGGCTGGTTTGGTTGACTGCTGTCACCAGGGGTGGCAGGGTGAGGTTATTGCTTCTATTGTTTGCACCTTGGGTTTTTATTTTTATTTTTGTAAGCCACCCACTGAGAGTGAATGGGCGGCCATATACATTCTCTAAATAAATAAATAGGTCTCCAAACTTGGCCACTTTAAGCCTTGTAGACTTCAACTCCCAGAATTCTGGGAGTTGAAGTCCACAAGTCTTAAAGTGGCCAAGGTTGGAGCGGCTGAGGAATTCTGGGAGTTGAAGTCCACAAGTCTTAAAGTGGCCAAGATTGGAGACCCCTGAAATAGATAAACCAACCAGCCAACCAACCTTCTAAACCCATTTTACCACTTTGAGAAGAACAGTGTCTTGTACCAGCCGTTGGTTATCCAGCCGTTCCAGTTTGGAGGCCCTGATGCTTTTGAACTCCCTCCACAGAGCACAGAAATCTGGCTGCCCTTCTCTGGCCCGGTCCGAAGTGTCCCTCTTGGCTCCCATCACCAGCCCAGATAAGGTCATCTGCGTCGGCATGAATTATGTGGACCACTGCCTGGAGCAGAACGTCAAGATCCCCAAGGAGCCCATCATCTTCAGCAAGTTCTCCAGTTCCATTGTGGGACCCTACGATGCCATTGTCCACCCGGCGGAGACCAACGTGAGTCTACTTGCAGGTGGGCTGGGGAGAATGGGCTACCCGATACATGTCGATGGAGGTTCTCCGTCCTCCAGGTCCTGGTTGTCCCAAAAGTAATTTTTTTTCCGGAGGCAACTGAAGTTTCTGGTTTTTCTTTGAAGACGTTTCGCTTCTCATCCAGGAAGCTTCTTCGGCTCTGACTGGATGGTGGGGAATGGAAGGATTGATACACCTTGCAGACAGCTAGTCCTTTGCATCCTTTTTATCAAAAATTGAACAGGCCTGTCAGGTGTGGCTCCATTCGAAATCCAAGAAAGAAAACCTTAGACTCCCTAAAGATAGAGAAAAGCACTTCTACTGGATTTGAAGTGGTAGCAATGAAAGGAAAGAAAGATGTGAGGCAAATAGGTGTGGAAATTACATATGGAAAGTGTCAGGGCTCCCGCAGTTATCCCAATTAAATGCTGAGTCTCAAGCCAAACATCCAAAACTTAAAAGGGATTTATTGGGAGTTAACATGCCGGCACTGCCTGGGTGTAGCCGACTCTGAGGCACATCCTTCATGGTGACCCTTGACCCTGGTTTACCCCCCCACCCCCTGGGTGTATCATAATCCATATTCTCCAATGGGACACATCCATAGCCCAGAATCATCCATCAGGCTCTCCAGTTAGAATTTTGCACGGCAGAAACTTCGGTCACCTAGTTACAATCTTTGAAAAACTATTTATGGAATGCACTTTCGGTTTTGCAAGTTGCTGCACTGCTCCCCCCTTCCCTTTTTCTGTTGGCAGCTCTAAAAAGACCATAGAAATATTTTATTGAGTTGACAGAAAGTTATCCCAAGTCCCCTCCCCCAGTGGTTCAAACTGGATATCCAATCTGAGGTGTGTATAATGCCGTGGAGGTTACATCTTTAGGTGGCGTCTCACATATCTGGTGTGCCAAGACGGTTGACCTTGGCCTAGAAAAAATAAGTGGCTGCAGTTGCACAGAAAGCAGGAAAGCACCCCAACTTTTACGGTTCACATAACTTCGACCTCCAACACCCTTTCCCCCTCCCTCAACCCCAAATTATCCCTCCCCTCCCTCCCTCCACCCATCCGTCCTTGTATTATGGGCTGCTTCTACTTTTAGCTCACCTTGCACAACCGTTTCCCCTGGTCACAAGTTTTCTGCCCCAAGCGTTGGACCGAAATGCTCGTTGACGTCCCCCCTCTGACCAGGCTGGTGTCCCTTGGCTCTTGGGGTGGCAAATTAGAGATTCTTCCTTGTGTTGTTTTTCCCCCCACTCTTCTAGGAAGTTGACTGGGAAGTTGAGCTGGCCTTTGTCATTGGGAAGAAAGGGAAACGCATCCAGGTAAGGTCTCATCCTGCCTTGGACAGGGGTTGGATTAGAAGACCTCCAAAGATTCCCTAGCCTTCTCTCAGTCTAAAACTGAAATCTCCAAACTTGGCAACTTTGAAGACTTGCGGACTTCAAATTCCCAGAATTCCTCAGCCAGCGTAGCTGGTGAAGTTGAAGTCCGCAAGTCTTCTAAAAGTTGGCGGAGACCAGCGGAGACCTGGCTTTAGGAAGCAGCCTTGATGATGTTTGACTCCGTTTAGTTTAAACTACTTCTGAGTTGGGTGTCACTAGAGAGCAGCGGTGTGACCTACCGGGGTGGGATTCTACCGGTTTGGACCAGTTTGGGCGAACCGGATGTTAAATTAAATTTGCATCCGGTTCACCAAACCGGTATTTCAACGGGCCAGCTGGCCCCGCCCTTCCTGCCCCGCCCAGGAGTCTCCATGCAGCCCATTTTCGATGCAGGGAAGTGCAGAGTCTGGGAGGGGCAAAATTGGGCCTTCCAGATGTCTAGAAACGGGCCTGTTTCCAGCTCCCGGTGGGTCTCCAGAGCCCGGGGGGAGGCTGTTTTCACTCCCTCAGAGGCCCTGGGGAGGCCTCCAGACCCTTGGGAGGGTGAAGTCAACCTTGAGCCAGTCGGGGTTGAACTCCTGGCAGTGGACAGAGTTGGCCCGCCATACTGGATTTTAACAGGAAAGAAGGAAGGAAAGAAGGAATAGCCATAGCCCTTAGACTTCAACACTGCTTCACAGTGCTTTCCAGCCCTCTCTAAGCGGTTGACAGCCTCTTGCCCCCTAACAATCTGGGTCCTCATTTTACCGACCTCGGAAGGATGGAAAGCTGAATCAACCTTGAGCTGGTCAGGATTGAACTCCTGGCAGTGGGCAGTTAGCCTGCAATGCTACATTTTAACAGGAAGGAAGGAAGGAAGGAAGGAAGGAAGGAAGGAAGGAAGGAAGGAAGGAAGGA